CAAGTAGTATTATTTGCTTCATATTTGTAAAAAAAAAAGTTTAGGATTGATTTTTTTTGGTCCTCTATGTAAGGTCCATATTATTGGATCAAAGAGAGCTGAAACTACAAAAATAAAATCAAGTTAAGCCATCTTGTTGTGTACAACTCCTTTTAGGAGACCAAGATTCTTGTAGCTTTTCCAGAAATAAGTAACCATAATGTGGAGAATGCTACCGTCTCCTGTACACTATCAGTAGCTTCTGAGAGGGTAGAAGAAGATAAGCAATGATAGGGAGTGAGCTTTCTCAACAGCCTGACTAAGCCAGTATGACACCCAGACCAGGAGGACATCAATCAAAATAGGCATTCAATGTTTTATACCATAAACACACATTTTCATCTCATTTACCTGTGTTTTCACTACAGACAGAAGATAATGTGTGATCTACCCCACTGACTTTATGTTATTTCAAACACTTCTATACTTACCCACAAACAATATAGTTTTAAGTAACTTTGATTTCCACTTTGTAATTAAAATGTAATTATTTTGTGCTGTTGATTAAAATAAATTTATTTGCTTATTTTTATTATCTGTAAGTGGTGGTACGAAGGAGTTTCAATGTATCATGTCAGTTAGTGAATACAATATCCCTTGATCAGTATCTCTCTTCCCATCACTTTTTTCCCCTATTACTTGCAACATCATCCATCCCCTCAATTTACCTGGCTCTAGTTTCATGAAGGTACTTTGAATATTATAACTGTATATGCCCACCTTTCCTCCATCTATTCAAATATTCAGCTAACCATTTGCAAAATGCCAATGTCTTCTTGGTCATATCAAGATAAAAATTTCACTTTCTTTATGATTTTTTAAGTTGGGAATCTCTGAGATGAACATTTCCATACAAAGAGTTTCAAATATCAAGAGGTATATAAGTACACCTTTGTACAAGACACTACTACTTCACCTAGTGCCTACCTGGAATTTCTTATAAAATAGACAGAAATTAGTAGCATTATTTAAAAAGTGACTTATTAGAATTCTTATTCTCTCCAGGGACCAAATTAAAGTAGAAGAACTCCCATATTGGTGATAAAGCAAGGAGAAGAGAAATGTTTTCTAGTTCAGTGCTAGTGGCTCATGACTATAATCCTAACTACTCAGGAGGCTGAGATCTGAGGGTTGCAGTTTAAAGCCAGCCAAGATAGAAAAGTCTGTGAGACTCTTATTTCCAATTAACTACCAGAAAACCAGAAGTGGAGCTGTGGCTCGAAGTGGTAGAGTACTAGTCTCAAGCAAAAAGAGTTTAGAAACAGCACCTGGGCCCTGATTTCAAACCCATGCCTGGAAAAAAATGTTTTCTAAAAAATAATAACTATCAGGGTTTTAGCACTTGTATATGTGTATAATTAGAGCATTAGATATTGCTTCAACAGCATTGATTGTCTTCTTTTCCTTTTGTGCCTGGAAATCTTGTGGTAAATAGATTATTTTCTTTATTTCCCAAATATGGATTGTAATTGATGCAATCTAAGATTGTGGAGTTATTTGGACAAATAGTAAATAACCATGCAGCATTTTTAGTGCTTCCAACACAGTTCTCTATTTTCTTTTTCTTTTCTTTTTTTTATTGTGAAAATACCATACAGAGGGATTATAATTACATGGGCAAGGTAATGAGTACATTTCTTATCAAGCATTGTTGCCTCCTCCTATGTTTCCTCACCCATCCCTTCCCATCTCCCACCCCCTCCCAGCGTCCCCCCCTTCCTTTCCCCCCACCCCCACCCCCGGCCAAAGTTGTACAGTTTGTTTTTCTGTTCTGTAAGTTTAGACTTAGAATTGTGTAGTACTTGTTTTTGTTTTTCCTCAAAGGTGGAGAGATATTGCTAAAATTAAAACTTGTTCATTGTGAATGCCAGTACATACAGTTTCTATATTTTCAGACTGACCACGTATAATTGAATAAGCGTGTCATCTATGCTGTCTGTGATGATACAAAGCTTGACAGAAGAAGATCTTTGGTAGATACCTTTTCATATTCAGCACCCCTCCTCAGTGAGTTTGCAACCAATTTTTTAATCGATATCAGCCTAATTATGAACACACATAATTCCTGAAGGATCTTGAAAAATTATAATATGAAAATTCAAATGAATGTACCTTGCAATGGTTCCTGGGTGAAATTGTGACTTTGGGTAAATTTCTCAAGTTATTTTGGCTGTCGTTTCCTTGTGTAAGATCTAGGCACAGCCTAGACAGTAGGATAGTCCCCGTGGTTTGTACTGAATCATGCTTGCTTTCTGCAAGAACACCCAGGGTTTCTAAGGTGTTTAGTTTTATGCCATTTTCAAATTTTTATATGTTCAAAGTGATGTGTGTTGATCTCCGTATCTCAGTTTTCTCATTCCATTGACACTAAATATAATTTAAAAACTAACTTATCATGATCCTGTTTACATGATCCTTCGATGCTTCATTAAAACGTTATTTCATATTTTGTCATAATTTGATCATCTATGATACAGTCTTAGAATCTGATGTCATAGACAAATACTTACGAACTTTTTCTTTCCAGAGACAATCTGCTAAGTTTTACTTAAACATAGCCCCAGAGTTTCATGCAGTTCAAACTGGTGAAATGAAGCTGCTCAGACAATGATGCTATTTATTAGGGCGCATTATCCAATTGCACTGCACCTGTTTGGATCATAGGTTTGCAATAATGCAATGAAAATTATTTGAATGGGTCACAGGTCTAATGTGTTAAGCACATAAACAAAGACTGCCCAGGGAGAGTGTTAATCCATGCTCATTAATTTTTGAATTCACATTCTGCAAGTTCATCCAAAAATTTATGAAGCACATCAGAGTTTGGCTTCAACAGCAAGAGAGACATACCGAAACATATGGCTGGGGGGCAAATGAGAGTCCTTGGCAGGCTCCTGCCGGGAGCCAGGTGAAGTGAGACCCATTAGAATGTCCACCATAGCTAAGGGAGTCACAGTCCACAGAGGAGCAATGCTTCCTGTGTCTCCAAAACCGTGAAAGGCAAATGAGACTCCTCTCAAGTACTCCCACAGAGAATAGCACTGCCCTTAGCTAGTGGGTTCTGTTTATTAGAGTACATCTCTCTGTATAATCATTTAAGCAAGGTAAAGACCATTTCCCCCCCCCATATATATATATATATATATATATATAATGTATAGGTAATCTAGATAATCATATGTGTATACATATTGCACCCAAAACCATTGTTTCATACGTATATAATCTGAGGACATGTATGAAAGATTGAGTCATTCTAATTACCTTGGTAATGTGAGGTATTTTAAACTTTAGATGTCAACATTCAGCTTCAGATTTGTTGACTTTTCTTCTAAGGATTAAAATCTAGCTACTCAGGTGGCTGGGATGTGCTCATTTCATCTTATAGTCAGCCTGGGCAGAGAAGTCATGAGATTCAATTAAGAAGAAAAAGCTGCAAGTGACATGTTGACTTAAATGGTAGTGGATAAAAGGCTAAAGTACAGTACTAAGACCCAGTGTTCAAGCCCCAGTCCTGAAACAAGACACAAGAAAATCGTGTGTGTGTGTGTGTGTGCGCGCGCGCGTGCGCACGCACGCGAGCTTGCTCATGTGCAGGAGCATGCATGTACATATGCACACACATGGACCCATCCTGGAGCCTGGACTTAGGGCCCAGGTGCTGTCCCTGAGCCTTTGTGCCCAAGGTTAGCACTCTACTACTTGATCCACAGATCCATGTCTGGCTTTTTTGGGGGGGCGTGGGGGGGGGAGGAAGGGTTGGCAGGGGGAGTTAAATAAAGGAAATAATCTTATGGACTTTTGTGCTGGGACTGGCTTTGAATTGTGATCCTTAGATCTCAGCAGTCTGAGTAGCTAGGATTATAGATGAGAGTCACTGGTGTGTGGTAAATGTGGGGTTTTTTTTGACAATAGAAATAAAAATATAGGAAAAATCCTAGATTCATATTTCTAAAGCAGATTAGAATGGTAGACAAGTTTTCTTGTATTTAAATATTCAGATAAAATATTCCAACAGACAACCTGCCTTTTGTTCCCTCCCATTATTTTCCTAGCTTCAGAGGTTGGATGCTCTGAGTTGCATTCTTCACCTTTCACCTCCTGTTCTCTTTACCACAACCCTGGCTTCAATATTTCATTTTTGTATGATACTTTCTAACTGACTCCAATTAACATTTTGTCCTCTTGCCACTCACATCCTCATGGCAGATTTCCTTGAATGGCCCTCTGGGTCAGACCTTACTAACTTTCTTTTAGGATTCCCTACAATAGCCATTCAGTCATTACGTATTCTTGCTTGTAGGCTGTAAGCCCATGGAGGAGGGATGTTTATTCATACACATAGATTCCCCTGCCCCATTCTTTCTTCAGTAATTATACCAAGACTCTGAAGAAATATGTAGTTGATAGTAATGGTACAATCCAACCCCAAACTGTCTTCAAAGATAGAGATAATTTACATTAAAAATAGAAAAAAATGAAAGCTTAAGTAGAACTGCATAAATATAATAAAATCCTCATGTAGCTGAAATAACTTAAGATTGTATTAGGCAGCAGAATATTTCTTTTATACTTGTATAAAACGTGTATAAAAATCTTTGTCCTCATAAGCAAGAACACAGACTCAACACAATTTATCCTTTCTCCAGCTTTAAAATATAGAATACTACAGAATAAGTTTGAATTCACCATTCTCAAAATCAATTTCTTTTTATTTATTATTTATTTTGGTACTGCTACTTTGGCTTGAACTCAAGGTCTTTTTGCTCTTCAATTGACCCTTAGCCTCACTTTCAGATTTGGTGGTTAATTGGAGATAGTATTATCATGGAATTTCCCGCCCAGGTTGTCTTTGAGCCAGTCTCTCAAGTAGCTAGGATTATAGGTATGACCCACCGGCACCAACTTCAACATATTTTTATATTTTGTAATTCTTATTATTTTTTTTAATTTATTTTTTAAAATATATGGAACACTTCATGCATCTGCATGTCATCCAGGTGCAGTAGCCATGATAACCTTTTCTGAATCATTCCAATTTTATTATGTATTCTGATGAAGTGAGCATTCTCCTTTTTATTTATTTATTTTTTTATTTATTTTATTTTATTTGTGAACATACTGTACAGAGGGGTTACAATTACATGGGCAGGATAATGCGTACATTTCTTACCAAGCATTGCAGCCTCCTCCTTTGTTTACCCTTCACATCCCTTCCCAGCTCTCCTTTTTATTTTTAAGAAAGGGTCTCACTGTGTAGCTCAGATTGGCCCTGAAGTAATGGCCCTCCTTTCTTAGCCTCATGAATAGTGAGGATATAGGTCTGCACCTCCATATCTACTTTTAGTTTCTTTTTCATTTAGCAATAAGGATAACTTATCCTTCAATTATTTCCATCAGAAAACTTTCACCAATGAGAGGTAGGTAGGACTTTTTATCACTAAACTTGATATTCTAATCTGATTATATTTTTCTCTGTTATATTTGATGCATGCATAATTACATATACATATGCAACACATATATAACTATATATGTACAATTCCTCTCAGATGTTTATCTTGATATTGAACTATTCACCATTGTCCTCTTCACAGTGCATATAGGCATTTGACTTTTGTTCTGTTCTTATTAGTTAACTCTATTTGCTTGCTTTCCTTCTTTGCTTCCTTCTTTTTACTCTCTCTTCTCATTTTTCCATTCTTTCTATCTATTACCTATCAACACCATTATTATCATCATCACACACCTATCTGTATCAGGACAATGTCTTACACTGCAGTTTTTTAGTTGACCTGGCACGTGGTAATCCTACCTCAGCTGGAGAATGGGGACTATAAGCATGTCACTCCAGCCAGCCCTTATATCTGTGTACTTTCATTTTGTTGTAAGCAGGTGCTGAGAGCCACTGTTCATTATTTGTTTTGTTAATTTCATTTCTCACAGTTTTGCTTTTATTTTCCATTTTTATTGTTATTATAAAGGTGATATACAGAGCGGTCCCAGTCTCATAAGTCAGGTAACGATTGTACTTCTTTATGGATAAAGTTGCCCCTTCCCTCCCTCTCTCCCAAGTATTCCCTAGTGAATATGAGAGCTGCGTTGATTCACCCTTTGTCCCACTGTTTCTGAGCTCCCCATTGCTTTCCCCCAAACAGATAAACTTACAAACAAGACAAAAGATACAGAAAACAAAAACAGCAACAAAGGGGAAAAAAACCTATTTCCATTTCCTACAGTTTATTTTGATAAATATTATTTTATATGATCAGATGCACATAACTATTGTGCCTATATGATTCTCTCCTAATAGAATCCTCATTTGGTCTTACTGTATGTGAATGCTTAGAGTCCTGTATAATCATGTCCAATGTATTTGTTTTTTTTTTACCATCCAGTCTGTCCACTTGTAGATTTATAGGCATATTCTAGCTACCACAAGTGAGGGAGACCATGCAACTTGTTTCTCACATACTTAGCTTGACTCTTCTATCACATCATTCCCTGGGTTCATGGAACTGGTCTGAGAAGAAAGATGTTTCATACATTTCTTGAATAATGTATCATAGTTGCCATTTCTTCTTTTCCTTGGGCCACATTCAAATTGTTTAACTCAGGGCCATTTTCACGGAATTATTATTGACTCCTTCATTTGGAATATTTTGAGCTACATTTTATTTTCTTAATTTTTTTACAATTTAAATTAAATTAATTTAACAAATTTAAATTAAATTTATTTTACTGATATACAAATCATAAAAGATATACATACTTATGGGAGAATACACACAAATATGAATACCTATGATAAATATTTGCATTTTTAAATTTAAGTGATTAGTTCATTAATTTTGGTGCTAGGGATAGATCTCAAGGCCTAGCATATGCTGGGTAAGTGCCCCAGAACTGAGTTACATTCTTGGCTCCACACTGTGTTTGTGCATATATAAATCAAGGTCAATACATCTAAATCCTCAGGCATTCATCATTTACTTACAGTGAAAATATTCAAATTCCTTTCTTTACATACTCCACATGTACATGGGGTTATGTGATATTTGTCCTTTTCTTCCTGATTTATTTCACTTAATAGAGAGATTAGCAGCTCAACTCTAATAATTGCAAATGACAAGATTTCAGAAGCTTTTTCCCCTATTGCTGAACAATGTCCCATTGTGTACACACACACACACACACACACACATATAGCACTTTTCTCTTTCCATTTGTCAAGGTTGGCTCCTTTGCTTGAATGGTATGAAAATTTCTGCAGGGAACACGAAAGTACTAACATATCTTGATTTGATAGGTCCCATTTCCTTGGGGTATCTACACAGTAGTAGGATTGTTACTACACAGTAGTAGTCTTACCTTGAATTCTTTTTAGCAATCATCATGCTGTTTTACATGATGACTCTCCTAATTTATGTTGCTGCCATAGTTACTCAGTTTTAACTCAGAAATGACCATCTGAATTCCATCATTGTTAGATTACTAGCGTCTGACTGACTAAAGGGGATTGTACCAGATTTCCATTGCTGCTATAAAAATTAGCTCAAAATCACTGGCTTTAATTTTTGTTATTATCTTGTTCTGGAGTTCATATATCTACAATCAAATTACTGCATAATACAAAAATGTCTTCAAGTGTAATTCCTTCCCCAGTTCCTAGGACAATATACATGCCCTTGATTTTCCAACGTCCAGAGGCCATCTTCATGCCTCTTGGATTACGTCTGTCATTGTCTTTGTATCTGTCCTGTCATCCTTCTTGTTCTCAGAAGCACTAAAGAGTCATATTGGAGGCAACCTTATAATTTAGGATAATCTGTCAATGTCACGATCTTTAATTTAGTTGGGCACTGGTGGCTCATTCCTGTAATCCTAGTTACTCAGGAGGCTGAGATCTGAGGATCACAGTTCAAAGCCAGCCTGGGCAGGAAAGTCTGTGAAACTCTTATCTCCAATAAACCACCAGAAAACTGAAAGTGGCATTGTGGATCAAGTGGTAGAGCACTAGCCTTGAGCTGAAGAGCTGAGGGACAATCCCCAGCCCAGAGTTCAAGTCCACAACTGACCAAAAAAAAAAAAAAGATCTTTAATTTCCTAATATTTGGAATGACTTTTTTCAAGTATGATATAGCTAGCTAGCTAACTACATATAGACATAGATAGATAGATAGATAGATAGATAGATAGATAGATAGATAGATGTTGGATGGATAGATAGATAGATAGATAGATAGATAGATAGATAGATAGGTAGATAGATAAATTTGTGAAGGTTAGGAAGTAAACATCTCAGTGGCCCATTATTCTGCCCAAGGGAGGAATAGGCCAACTACCAAATACAATTCTCTCATTGAAAGACCACAAAGCAATTAAGGATTTAACCAATTATCTCCAATATAATTGAAATATCTTCCCAGAAGTTCTACCTTCCGGTCTCTGCCAAGCTGAACTCAACCCAGATTTACCATCATCAATGTAACCTGCATCAGAAGAGTGGCTCTGCTGATCAATCTGCATCATGCAGTTGCAACAACTGATATATCACTGCAGTTCTTTGCTCTTGATTTGCAGTGGTTTGTCATTCAACAATACAAGACTGAAATACTCAGTGCAATTTCATATTCAATAACAACTGTCTTTTTTTTCATTCACAATCGAGCAAGTCATGTTCAATCACCATGTTAGAAAAGAATAAACAGGTTCTTCTTTCAGTTAACACAAGGCAAACAGATGAAGATTTCATATTTTCACTTCTTTCCCTTGTCACATCTGCATAATGTCTGTCATGTGATTATGATTTGTGTAAGCCTCTTTGTGTCACACAAACAGGGTTTGTTTACTGTATTCTGCCTGTTCCTCTTTAGCATGTCAAACAGATAAGTCCTTTGCTCCACACAGTTCATCTTAATTGGAATATTTTCTTGCCTCATTTTTTCCTCTCAATTAGATGAGTTTCTAGCATCTCTAAACTCTAGAAACCCTGGTATTCTATTGTGAAGTGGGGCGTTATTCCTTCTGGCTCTGAAACCATATAACTGCAGGAAGTCTCTGAGAGAGGTTCTCTTGAAGGAGGGTGGTTTTCCAGGAATGAACTTTGTTGTTGCTACTGTTGTTATCATTATTATTTCTATTATTATTATTATTGACTGTTATTCACAAGTATTAGATGTATTGCATATATATAGTTAAAATAATGATGGTTTTATATAATACCCAACACTGTGTTTTCACCAAACAAGAAAAACATACCCTTGGATGTAAAATATACTATTTTTATAACAGGTAATCTCCTTATCACATGACCTAGAAGCTAAGAAGTAAATTGCTGCTGTTGGCCATGGGGTGATATATTAAACTCTTTGTAGCACCAGAAAAGTTCATTAGTATAAAAATCTTTATACATAGCCTTTTCAGAAGCAGTAATACTAAGTAACTTTAATTGGCCTAAAGCCCTGTGTTATATTTATTCATTTACTCCTTTCATACTAGTAAAACAATGAAGCACTAAGGTCTCTGAACACAAATCTAGATAACGTTATGGAATATGAACGGATTCTATTCTAGCTCATATGCTACAGAGGTGTTTATTTACTGAGTAAAGTTTAATGGTCAAAAGACTAGACTCTGCATTTACAGCATACCTGACCCAATCCCATGTCTAAAGTTTTATAGGCAAAAAATATTATAACCTTCTGTGCTTCAGTGGCTTCTGAGCTAGTAATAGAGCATGTCTTATGTAGTATTACCATGAAGTGCAAGTATGATAATCAATATAAAACACCAAGAACAGAATAATTAGGCATTGACTCTTTATTACCTGTATTTTTTAACTTCAGTATTACTAATGGAACTTAATTATTTCAGGGAATAAGAAGGAACCTATATTGTGGATTTCATCCTTCTGAGTTTCTCCTATCATTCTATGTACCTGTCTATCCAGAACACTGACTAAAGCATTAGATGCTGTTCAACAATTAGTGTTACTCCTAATATTATCAATTCCAAATTTCAAATCATGCATATGTATTTGTTGGATTATTAATAATAGTGACATTC